ACCACTCGCAATCGGGTGATAGATGCTGTTTGCTTCCCCAACAACATCGCCGCTGATCTGCCCGACGGATGATTAACCAATGCACGAGGCAACAACGCATCCMACCGACCAATCGCGGAACGACAGAAGATTACTTGCGATCGGATRATTGATCGTTTGTGCTGCACYGAAGATTAACCCGCCGGCGAGTGCCTGTTTATATATCCACCTGACAGTCYTCGACYGAACAGTCGATCGGTCAGGAAATCTGCCAGGATCAACTGATTGGTCGACCGCTCTGTTGGCGATTGCTCTACTGGTTGATCGACCACCACACCAACCGCCAAACGAGCAGCCGAACAATCAATTAATCCTGGCAGATGTAATGACCAATCGACTATTCTGTGCACATTGATTGTGGAAAACGATCGCGGAGAACCCTCAAGGCAAATGATCATGTGCACGATGGACGACGGCGAACGAAACACACAACCGATCGGAAAAACGTCGATCCCGATCTGCGAACGAATAAAAAACACTTCGTCACAATCTTGTTGCACATCGAACCTCGTATAACATCGAATCATGCTKGCCATGGAACCTGGCTCCACATCAAACCTCGGCGGGCGTCGAACCTCGTCGGACGTCGAACCTCGRCGGGCGTCGAACCTCGGCRGCGCACTTGACRGTCACTGAAAGGCGAACGTTGAGCACCCACCACCCCACGCGTCGCCGAMACTGTTCTCGTGACCGGAACGTGGCCGTTCCAATCTGCCAGCACAACCTGGGCCATACCAACCGAACTTATCGTGCAATGAAACACCGAAAGAAGTTGGGATCCCYGCGAGCTTGTGCAACTGTTCGAACCCRCTTCTCAACCCCGGTACGCAACCACAGCYAGGGAAGAGGRAAAATATGAAGTCCGCCGGGATCCGAACTTCAAGAAATTGYTGGACGGCGAGTTTRGCAGACAGGTGTGTATCTCCYACACAATTTCGCCAWGTTYGGATTCCGRCGAACTTCATGTAGCTGTTCGAAAACGCTTCGCAACCCCGGTCCGCAACCAGAGCCTGAGACGTGTAAAAATTTGAAGCCCGTCGGGATCTAAACTTGAAGAAATTGCTGGACGGCGAGTTTGGCAGACWGGTGTATGTCTCCCACGCAATTTYGCCAAGTCCGGATCCCGACGAACTTCATGCAGCTGCTCGAACACGCTTCGCAACCCCGGTCCGGGAGCACAGCCTGGGCCGTGGAAAAATTTGAAGTCCGCCGGGATCCGAACTTCAAGAAATTGCAGGACGGCGAGTTTGGCAGATAGGTGTGTATCTCCCACGTAATTTCGCGAAGTTCATATCCTGGCCAACTTCAGGTTCCTGCTGGCCTGCGGATCCAAACCTCGCTCGCACTATTCCTTGCACACTCGTCGAGTCCGGACCCCGGCGAACCTCGGATCCGTGATAATGCGAAGTCTGTCGGGATCCGGACTTCTCCTGCACGGTTCCTCGCATAGACGTCAAGTTCGCACCTCGGCGACTTCGCTTGTCTCATTGTGCGGGTTCAGAACGCGGGTTTTCTAGCGCTCGGGGGTTGGCACAACTTTGTATTTGAAAAAATGTTAAGTCCACTGGTTGTTTCTCTCCCACTCGGCCTCGCCAAGTTCGGATCCCGGCGAACACCAGGTTCCCGTCTGGCCTCCCGTGGATCCGGACCTTGCGTTCCCGGTTTCCCGCACAAAACCCACGCCAAACCCACGCCCAAACCCTCCCGTGAATCCGGACCTCGCGTGGCAAGTTCGGACCCCGGCGAACTTCGCGTCGCGCATGGTGTGGGTTCTGACTATGTCCTTTCTCGCGAACGGGTGTTTGCCACACTTTTTGTTTCGCAGAAATGCGAAGTCCGCCGGGATCCGTACTTCTAGTGCCAGAGTTTCTAGTCCCATCGTCGGGTTAGCCTGCTGTGCATCTCCGGCACAATTTCGCCAAATCCGGATCCCTGTGTATTTGAGCTCCACCATCAACATGTGCCAAACAGTCGGTTACTGTCGTTGCGAGATGCCAAAAGCACTCTTAGAGATCACTGTCGCAAGGTCATGCGAGCTTTGCGTTTCCTAAAACCAGTTGGAGATCCCGGTTGGCGGACCCTCTTGTTGGAAATCCCGTTGCCTTGCTAGGACACCTTGCTAGGACCCCAACTTTCTGTCTGTCTCTCTCGCAGCCTCCCGAGGTTCGGATCCCGGCGAACTTCCTGTGATGCCTGTGTATTGAACGGGCGCTGGTCTTGATGATCCCCCGTGGATTGTGACACGAGTCAACCCTGATCCACAACTTCCCCTCATGCAATGTTGTCGCGGTTGTTGCGTTCGAACTTGGCTCCATCCAATGCCAAGCTGCGCATATCAGAAGAAGTTCGGATTTCGGCGAACTTGTCCTTCTCAACCGGCCTTTTGTGTTAGTGCAGCCTTTCCGCGTCGTGGTTTAGTCCACGGACCGTGTGTCTCTGACGCCGTCTCTGCCTGTCGCATCGTCCTGAAGTTCGGATCCTGGCGAACTTCACGTTTCGGTGGGTGCGTTGGTTTGTCTTTGGACCGGCACGTCCTGGGGTTCGCACAACCTGCTCGGCGAGGTGGAGAACCGTCTCCGACTTCTAGTTTCGATCAAATGCTGTTGCGGAGTGTGTTCGCTCGCGCATGGTTCAGGAACGCTGGCTGCGTGGGCTGGCTGTCTCTATCTCTCTTGCGCCTCATCTTTTAGTACGGATCTCGGCGAACTTCGCGTCCTGAACTGTCCGGGTTCCGAGTGCTAAACGGAGGACACTGGCCCATCCAACACGAGCTTTATGCGTCACCTCCTATCCATTCCCGATCCAGTCGACATCCATGTTCCGAAAACACCGACGTGGTTGTCGCCCGGCTGCATGAAAGAAGTCATTGCTGGTCTTCGCGTTCGAAGTTCGTTGGGATCCGAACTTCGAGGTCCACGGATGGCGTCATGTGACATATGCGTTGAGGGCAAGGTGTGCCTCCTATGTTTTTCGCTTGCGTTGTACTTCAACTGCGATTTGACGCTCACTGGTGTTTTATTTGTTTTCCGTTGTCGTCCGAAGACAATATGTCTTCGTCCAGGGGCGTAGGGGAGCCTGCAGCGACCTCCGGGATGGGATCTGGGAAAGATTCTACGAAACGGTCGTCTACGACCTCGAGGACGTGGTCCGACCACGCTAGGTCGAAATGGTTCGTCGACTCGTGCTGTGGGGATGCATCAAACCCAGTGCAACAGTCGTGTGCTCCTGTGATCTTCGTCGAAGCCAACAAGCGGCGTAGGGTGTTGGGGGCTGTCTTGCGGTGGGAGAATGCGAAAGGCAGCCGTCGACGGTTCTACAGGAAAAATGTCTACGGTGCGAAGGGGAACGTCGTCGCCGGTGCCAAGGGGGCGATTCTGGACATGTGTCTGATCGAGGGGTTCGGAGTGGGTGCTTCGAATACCCCGTTCTACAATGACCTCCGGCGGCAGGGTGGTTTTGTTTTGGGTCGAGAGTTCTTTGACTTGTTGGAGGACAAGGACATCGCCCTCGACGTCCCTTGGGAAGTCGGCCCCGACTTGGAGCTGTCAATGCCTTTGTAGCAGTGCGGCGGTTGTGAGTCGAGCGGGGCAGCGGGGGAGGGGGGGGATCTGGGTTCCGGAGAGGCTACACATGTGCAGCGGGAAGATGCCACAGGTCAGATTGACGACAGCGAAGATGAGGCGACACGGCGTCCGCCGTTTTCAACGTCGAGGGAAAGAGACAGGTCCGTGCTGTCCATACCTGGGGTCCGGCAACAGACCGCAGCGGATCCCGGAGAAGAGGGAGTCCTGTGTGGGTCTGACTTAAAGCCCGCCGAGGGCCATGGCGCGGAAGGCGAGGCCGTGGGTGGGGAGGGAGCGYAGAGCACTCCCCAAAAAAGGAGGGGAGAATGTCAAGAAGAGTTGGTGGGCTCTTCGAAGAAACAGAAGACCAAGACCCCGARWRCTGCGGGAGAGAAACGGAAGGGGAGGGCGGTGGAAGAGGGCCACCCGGGTAGCAAACGTCCAGCTTCGAAACATAGACAGCCTGAGTYGGGACMTTCTACACCACGGCCTGCYATCGACGTSGACGCCGGGTACTTCCTGGAGTACAAAGACGGCGTCAGGACAAGGCGGGAGTTTGAGATCAGCCCGGCTTAGATCGTCGACATAAGGGAGTGGGAGGATCTTTACAACCAGCGGTCGCTAGATCCCGTCCTCGTGGGAACGATAAGGGAAGCAATGTGGTCTGCGTTCGAAAATAAAGAACAGACGTACGAGTTGCCAGTCTTCAAGCTCGCACCACTGAGGCTTCAAAAACCAATTCGTGGGACCAAGGCACAACGTCTGAAGCCGGAGGAGTGGAAGGATGAGCTGGCGGGAGAATACTACTACTATGCGGTGTGTGGGCAGCACAACGCGGCTGCAGCCAGGTCACTCCTCGGCAGCAAGGTGGCCAAGAAGTACAATTTCGAGCGGTGGCCGGCACGGATGGTGTACTTTTCCGGCGACGACTTCGAAGGGTATTTTCTTGTTAGTTCACAGGACAACAAGAAGGACCTCAAGGCACCTCCCAGACAGTTGAAACTTTCTATGAAAGACATTCAATGGCAGTGGAAGCATGACCGCTGCCCAAGAGCTGTGATGGGGAACCCTAGCGGGAAACAAGATCAGGTCCGGGATTGGCGTAAGTTTTGTACAACGGCGCTCCATAAGGCACCTCAAAACAGCTTGTAGCTTCTTGCGGATCAAAAGGAAGAGGAGGCCATTAAGAAGCAAAATGCTGCCCTGCGTTCTTACTTACCTCTGGCGATGGCCGGGAAAAATGTCTGGAAACTGGCCGTGGAATTTTTCGACAAATGGGAGACGGGTAGATTGCTGAGCCACGACGGGGCGAAGTGGATCGTCAAAAATAAGAAGGTCTTAAACGTAAAGCCTGGGGTCGCCTAGATCCACAACGACAAATTGGGCAGAACGGAGGTGGTGTACAACGTCCCTGTGGATCCGCCGAATAAAAAGGGCAAAAAGGAGAAAGAGGAGGGCGATTGGTTTGTGCAAGTGCCAGACCTGGACGCGCATTGTTGGAAAACAATGGAATCACTCATGGACAATAAGAAGTGCTGCGTTCTGAAAAAGGTGCTTGCTTGCGAGGTCGTCTGGGTCCACGCCGGTTCCCCGTCGTTGGCGAAGTTGGGAAAGCTCAGCGTTCAGGACATGGTGCAGCTGGTCAAGTGCGACCGCGTGCTGGTCCGGCTGTGGAATTACTACCAATTCAAGTACGAGAAGAGGTCGGACGGGGACTGGATCCAAAGGTACCCTTTCCTGAGATCGAGGTCTGCCGTGTTCAAGAAGTTTGAAGGTCAGGGATTGGATGACGACTTGTGGGATAACAGCAGGAAACACGTTTTCGACTCGGCGCTGTTCAAGGACTGCCCGCCGTACATGGGCTGCGACCAGGACAACTCGATTGAGGTGACGGAGAAGTTGGCGGGCCACAAGAAGTTGTCCGTCGACTGGAGAAACAAGGTTCTCTCCGTGTTGAATGGAAGCAGACTGAAGAGCCGGGAAGTCGCACTTGCCGAAGGCGTCGTTCACATTAAATGGAAAGACACGGGGGACGTGACATCCATCGTGCCGTTCGCCAACGACCCTTTAGAGGCGGACATCAGGGGCGCAGGGCTGAACGAGGCAACGGGTGCCACAAAGAGCCACACGTTCGTCCTCAATCTGTGCGAGCCGGTTGACCTCAAACTGTGGAAGCCCCAAGCGTGGGAGCCGGGAAGTCGCACTTGCCTGAGGGATTTCTGTTTTTTATTTTAAAAAAAAAAAAAAAAAAAAAGTAAAACTAATATCAACTGTTGTAGGACGCACAAAAACCTATAACCCCATATTTTTTTATTTTTTTTTTTGGCCTATTATCCTAGGAGTTAAAAATGCCGGGGTTTTTCGACCGCACTCGGCTGCGGGTGGTCCGTTGACGCGGGTGGGATCTCGACCCCGGGCGGTAAAATGGCCCGCGGTCGCGATCGCAGGTGACACTAGACTGGCAGGGGGCACTCATTCGATTTTCTTCCCTCCAACGCCGAGTGGTGCATTTAAACGCGTTTGAACGCGCCCAAACATGGTTTGAACGAGCCCGTTTGAATGAGAACGCCCGTTGAGCGCGTTCAAAAGGGAAACATAGGTCATGTGCGGCATTGTGCGCGTACGTGTAAGCCCGGCAAAGGAAGGACGTTACTTACACGCATGTCTGCAAAACCGGTACTCGGCCCATCTCTCCGAATGTCTGAATTTCCACCCCACCCTACAGTTTGAATATCGAGATCCCCTTTCATATCACTGATCGCGAATACCTGAGGGATCGGGAATTCGGGAACATCGGGAATACGTTTGTTTTTCTGGACGATCAAGGACGAAACCTCTGGAATTTCCCTAATTAACAAGGAACGAACGTATTTGCGAGTGGGATATTGATCGGGCTCTAGAGGGTATTCCCCACCACCCCGAGTTTCCCAGCCCTACAAGTGTCGCCTCGTCGTGGAACCTGGAATAATTATTCCGGAAACCGACTTCCCTCCCTATCATCGCATACTGCCCTTTCACTCCTTGACCATTGCCCCATGGCGGGCGCTCGCCCCCTTCTGGCCCCAACCCCCTTGTTCAGAGTGTCTACAGGACAACTGTTACCGAGCGTCCGACTTCATCCGGTGAACTTTCTTGGAAGAAGAACGACGAGAGCACAGCCTTCGGCTGAGGCCGGCCGCGTCGGACTCCGAGACCTGCGACGTTTGGCGTCGGCAGGTGATCAGCCATCTAGATAGCCATAGCGTCCTGGCGGTAGACCAAATACAAGTTCGGCCCAAACGACGGAGTCAGCGAAGGCGGTAGCCCTGCTCCCACAAACATAAAACCAGACCCCAAGCCGCACCTACCCTTTTTGCATGCATATCCCTGAAACTTGCCACAGGAGATCTCAGTTCTGCCCTAGGACTCCACCCCCACTTTCCTAAAATCCTTGGCACACCCCCATTTCGCACTTCCAGGCTCACTCTCACTCTGATCAGGAAGTCACACCGAGCGTGAGTTCAGGGGCGTCACACCGGGACCCCATCCTACGCCTCCCGCGTTGTTTTTTAATGGCGAACCCAATTATACTAAACATAGTTTTTCTCGGCTGCCCCTCGGGCTTTTATTCCCCCTCGGGAAGGCCCCAAACACGGCTCAGACGACCGCTTGTATGGTCCGTACGTATGGCGAGGGGGCCGTTGGAACGGTCGTTGTACCCGCTATATCTGAGGGAAGAACAGGTTGCTCTTCCTCATTTGCGGTACACAAGTTTGGTTGTCACGCTGCTGGAGTGCTGGTTGGTAGAACGCTGTGTGTAGCGCTGAAAGGAGGAGCGCCTGGGCTTCCACCATGGCTATGGTGGACAGTGGACAGCGCTAGGAAGGAGGAGGAAGAAGAGGGCTAAGAGCCTAGTAAGAGGAGAGTGGCCAGGGGKASTTACYTGGCTATAGTGGACTCCATCTTCATCTCCTTGGTATGCACTGCATTCGGAAGGCCCCAAGTGGGGTAGCACTGCATCAAGAATGCTTCAGGGCAGAGTCAGGCATGGCGGCCTGAGGTGTAGAGGACATAGCTGCCTTGCAGATCTGGCAACRTATATAACCCAGCTTTCASGCGAGTAGGGTGCCCAAAGTGCAGTTGCAAACTGTATCTTGCCTCATAGTGCAATTATTAGTTTATAACTCGGTTTTGTGACTCTACTGAAGTTTTCTTGCTGGTTTTGYATTAACTTMTGAACATCGGAAYAGGTCCCYTGGCCCCCTAGTAGTCCACCATAGCCATTACCTRTCCAAGGTGGATGGAGGAGGAGGTCATGGCGTCGATGGCGATGGTGGACGTCATGTCGTGCTGGCAGTAAGAGGGAGATTCGGACATTGGTTCTGGTTCAGCCATTGATTGTTAATAATAGGGATAAC